GTGTTACCAACTGGGACCAAAGGCCCTCCTGCCGGGGCTCGTCGCAGTGGCCACGTGAAGCTCCACCTGTCCCGGTTCATGAGCGCACCAGGACTAAAGGTCATGGGTTTTAGATTCCCGACCCTTTAGTATCGGTTCCAGAACCGGGACAAATGGGCCTTTTTCCACTAGTGTAGCTAGACCGCTAGAGTGTCTGTATGTGTCTGAAGCAACAGGAGGAAAGTAAAAAAAAAAGAAGCATAGTTGTACTTCTCGAAGAAAGTAAACCCACGTCTATGCTTCAAAATTTTTGAAAAAAACATAATTATGCTCCCGGGCTCCCTTTCTTTTTACTTTTAGGGTATTTTTTCTGTTTCCATGTTTTTATAGTTTTTTATCTTTTTTGTATTTTTCAGTTTCTATTTATCTTCCTGTTTTCCCGCTTTTTCGTGAAAAGGTCCACCGAATCTTATTAACATGGGGTCTAGTTTCGAAAATCTCAATGAAAGAAATCTAACAATGAAAACGGTTTGTGATTTCAACGCACGATTTAAGAGACAAAATATTCAAAAAAAAATACGAAAGAAAATGGAAAACTCCCCGGTTACGACAAGTGGCACACATGCAGTGTAACACTTGTCAGCACCAGAGAAGGTGGGAGTGATATTTGCAAAGGGTACAAGTAATTAGTAATTTCTCTTTATCGTGTTTATTCTGATGTACAACACTGCCTCTCCTACAACGCGTTGTCGATGGGCTGGCCGAGGAAAGACGAGGTGTTCGGTTGGTTATTGTTGTTTTTCTTCTAGAAACTGTTTTCTGCACCCACTTTTTGGGACCAGGTTTGATCCGATTTTCTTTTATGTTTTCTCTACCAGGTTTTCCTTCCTTCTTTTATTATTTTTTTCTTCACTTTTTTAATATATTTTTCTTCATTTTTAAAACATGTAAACTTTTCTCAAAAAAATCATTGAACATTTTTGTATACATGTTGAACATGTTCCAGCTACACATTAAACATTTTTAAAATACACTCTAAAGATTTATCTAAATACATGTTGAACAGTTATAAAAGGCACATTGAATATTTTTTCAGTACGCAATGAACAGTTTTAAAAATGTACAAACATTTCGTACGTGTTAGAAAATGTTTATAAATATCACCTACATTTCTTATATGTTGTGAACATTTCTCTAGAATTATATGAATAAAATTTTACATTTCATGAACATTTTCCGAAATGTCATGAAACATACATTTAACCAAGGGCATTTTTTAAATATCATGAACAATTTATTAAATGGTACAAACATTAGGCCCGCGCGCCCTATTGTTTTTTCAGCTAGGCGCGTGCGTCTACGCCTAAACCGCAGCAGGTTAACTTCGCGGGCCTTTCCTCGAAAGCGCCGGCAGGTCGTGGTCGTCTCCTTCCCCGATCCACACATCCCCAATCCTGAAGGAGATATAGAGGCCACACAGAGCTTCACCCTCCTGGCGGAGCTCCTTTGGGCCACCAAACACGGCGCCGCCGTACAGGGGAGAAGCCGATCGAGGTTGTCTCGTTGCCGGCGCCGAGGAGACTGGACAGAGGTATGTCTTCTGCTGCTTCTGATCGAGATAAGCAGCATTTACATCGAGGGGAGGGATCACAGAGAGAGGGGGCAGCCCCTGCACTGCTTCAGCCGCTGTTTTGAGAGCATCAAGTAGCCGCACTCTCCACAGCACGGCGTCATCCCTGCACTGCTTCAACAGCCTGGGGATTGATGGCGGCAGCCCCTGGAAGACCACCGAGTTGCGATGTTGAATAGGAAACTTCGGCCAATGCATGACCGAAGAGTCATCTTCGGCCAACTGCGGACCGAAAACCCTGTCTTCGGCCTAACAGAGGTCGACGGGGTCATACTTCTCAAAATTATGCATTAGGTCATATAGTTCCCGAATTTGCTAGAAAAAACGTCATAGTTTTGAAAAAAATATGGAAACTTCAAATTGACTTGGCTTACATTGTCGTGAGTTGTGGCCTCTAATAATCCACACTACGTAGGCATGATACTCCTTTAAAATCACACGGAACGTAATCGTGAAGAAAATAGGTGCTTCTCTGCATTTTGTTTAAGGTGTACTAACAGGCTTTTTTGCCACCGAGTTTTGCATGCATAACTGCATATCCTGTTTTTGGTCATTACTGTCTCTCTATCGTATGGGCCTAACAAAGTGAGAAGGGGAAATAAGGAAATGGGATTAGTGGCAAAGACGAATACTTCCCTTCAATAAGTATACAATATAGTTGCATTGCGTATGTTAGAGTAGCCTTTTTTGTTCTTACACTTTTCTATAATGAACACCGAAACAAAATTCAACTATATAGTTTACATGTGTGCTTACTACTTCAGACATTATAAGCTTCTCATTAACAACAACATAATTGCAGAACTACAGCAGAAGGCAATGTGAGATCAGCAGTGCCTGTAGCATCATTGCCTTTGTTTGCCCAGAGGATATCTTGTTACTGACCAAACACTTTGAACAAGAATCATCTCTCCACCAACATGGCATCAAATCAGCTAATAAACAAGGTAACTACACTTCAGGCCACGTCTCTCCCACACCATTCAAGACGATTGCCTGTTTTCAATACCGTACTCTTTGAACTAAGCTTAATTCGTTTATATGATTTTAACAGTCCTCAGTTATAGCCATGGCTTGGGGATTATTCAATGATGGTGCTGGGGTGCTTTCCAACTTCAACACATATAAAGAATTCTTCAGCTGGACGGCATCAGTTATAACCGCCATTCATTATCGACAGAGCACCTCAGAGTCGCCAGACAATGACAAGACAGTTGCACAACCACATGATAAAGAGAAAATTGATCGGCTAGAGGTTGATCTTTGGAAGCTGAAGACAACAATGCCCAAGATGCTTGACCTCATTGATCGGGTTGAGTTTCTAAGCCATAAGGAACAAGTGGTTGATCTCCTCCCAAATATCAAAGGTGCAGTGTTCGATGCAGAGGACCTGCTTGATGAGTTTGATTATGATGTACTCAAGTTGAAGGTTGAATGCAGCAAGAATTTGAAGCCAGGTCATTATAATGACACCTTTCTGGAATTCTTCGACAGATCCAGTGATTACAAAAGACAAGTCAACATAATTCAAGAAAAACTAGATCATGTCCATAAGCAGGCCATGGATATGGGCTTGCACCAAGCACCACGGAAGTTTGATAAATCAGTTAGGCCAGAAACAACTACCTACTTTAATTGTGTGGAAAAAATGGTTGGTCGTGAAAAAGAAATGAAGGAGTTGTTGGGAAAACTAGGAGTTCGTGGACTGAAGAGAGGAAGAACTGAAAGCAAAGCAAGAATGACAGAGTTGCATGTGTTATCCATTGTTGGCATGGGAGGTGTCGGGAAGACAACGATGGCCCAACAAATCTGCAAGAATACAAATGTGAAGAAACACTTTGGCCCCATAATTTGGACATGTGTTTCAGATGACTTTGACACAAAAGGGTTAACGAAAGCGATTATAGAGGGCCTCGGAGGAGACGCGTCATCTAATAATCTGAATGTTCTTATGGGTAAACTAGAAGGTCGTGTCAAGTCCAAAAAGTTCTTGCTTGTCCTTGATGACATGTGGGATGATATCTTGAAGGATGACGCAGCAGGGTGGAAGAGCTTGTGTGCATGTTTGGAAAATGGCGCTGAAGGAAGTAGGATTTTGGTCACCACTAGATTCCCCGAGGTTGCTGAGCTAGTTGGCCCTATGAATAATTTTGAGTTAAATGGCTTAGAACCAAAGGTATTCTGGGATTTCTTCAAATCCTGTGCATTTGGATCCACGAGTTCTTGCAACAACCAGGAGTCACTGGAATTGGAGCACATTGGTAAAGACATTGTTCCAAAGTTGAAGGGTTCCCCATTAGCTGCCAAGACTATTGGTCGCTTGTTGAGAATGGAGCTAAGTACAACACATTGGAAAAATATAAAGGAAAGTGAACTCTGGAAATTAAAACAAACAGATACTGACATTCTGCCAGCCCTTCGACTGAGCTATATGTATCTACCGCAGAAACTGAAGAGATGCTTCTCAATCTGTGCAATGTTTCCCAAGGATCACAAATTTGGGAAGGATTTTCTAGCTGATATTTGGATTGCACAAGGATATGTGGAGGGGCCCCAAGAATCATCAATGTGCTTCGATGCCCTTGCAAATCGTTCATTCTTTCAGAAACCATCACCACAGAGTCTTAAGTATGTAATTCATGATCTGATGCATGACACAGCACAGCTAGTCTCGAAGGATGAGTGCTTCATTATAAAGCATGCTAGTGACCTGGACAAAGTTCCTTCAAATGTCCGTCATCTGTCAATATTCACAAACGGAAATGTTCAGTGTTCTGAATTGACGAGCATATGCGACAAGAAAAATTTGAGGTCCCTGGTATGCGATGAATCGTATAGCAAAGCAAAAGATTTTGAGCCTGTGATAAACTGTTGGTTCAGGGAGCTACCGAAAATCCGTGTATTGAGTTTTAAACTTTCTGGAGTACGACAACTACCTGAGAGCATGGGCAACTCAAAGCATCTGCGTTACCTTTCTTTACTTGGAAGTGTTACTTTCAGCACATTTCCATTATCAGTATGTCGTCTGCATCATCTGAAAAATATAGACTCTAGCAGTTGTGTGATTGAAAAGTTTCCTCCAGGCTTCAGTGATGTCCTCAGCTTAGAGAAGATCAATTCAAAGTGTTTTAGTTATAGCAAGGACCACTCTGGCAAACTCTGCCTAAAATGGTCCCATCCGCTGCATAGTCCTGAGGGAGTGAAGATAATGGAAAACCAGATGGAAATGTTACCTCACTGGAATCTCCAACATTTGCACGTAAAGAACTACGGAGGTGAATCTTGCCCTAGCTGGCTCCAGCCCAACCTCCTGCCAAGGTTACGTTCTCTTGAATTTATGAATTGTGTCAGTTTGAAGAGCATACCATTCTTTCTCCAGTTAGTTGGGTCACTGGGCAATACATCACAATCAGACAACATTAATCGTATTGAAGAGTTGGTCATAAAAGAATGTGGTCAAATCAGTTGGCAAGGCTTGGTGGTCTTACCTACTTCTCTTAGAAAGCTAGACCTTCGGAGCCCGGGCTATTCCATGGATCACTTCGTGAGCTGCTTCCTTGACCTCACCTCCCTCACTTATTTGAGAATGCATGACTGCGACTCGTTGACAGCTATTCCCCTGTATGTGTGGAGAAGCAATCTTCCATCCCTGGAAGAACTAGACATCAGTTTTTGCAATAACATTACATCAATAGTCTCTGAAGCAAGTAGTAGCAGTAGCACCACCAACGGCGGCATTAAAGGTTTTTCATCCCTTGCTAAGATATGTATTCTTTGCTGTCCGAAATTATTGAGCTTGCATGAATTCTTCAAGCCAGATTGTCTACCTGCCGTGAAGACCATTGAGGTTTCCTCTTGTGAAGAGTTGATGTCGCTGTCTGTTGACAGGCTTGACGGGTTGCAGCAGTTGACAATTCGAGGTTCTGATAAGTTCAATATGGAGAGGGCAATGATATTACCATCCTCTCTTAAGAAGCTCAGCTTGAGTGATTGTCAGGGCATAGAATCCATCAACCTCGCCAATGGCCAGTTGGCAAGTTCTCCAGTATTGGAGGAACTTAGCATTTTGCGCTGTTCAGACCTTAAGTCCATTGGTGGTGCAGCAGCTGTTGATAAAATAAAGAAAGTGAGTATAAAGGAGTGCCACGAGCTCAAGGAAATACAACAGCCGCTCTTTCACTGGTATGTACAATGACGGGCAATTTAACTACTGTATGCACATCATTAGTTCTTCAGAATTTATTCTTAGATAATTGCATGTGAATCTCCCTATATCGCTCCTGAAAAATGACCTAGATCTTTCAGCTCATTAACCTTTTTCATTTGTCCAGCCTGGTTGGTACTTCTGATGATTAAAACGGAATTTGGGACATGATGCACGGCGGCGCCGCCTTCATTGAGAACACACGCTAGGGGAGCCTATAATCTCGTTTTCTTTAGAAGATGGATGTCGTGCAGGGCTGTTGGAGGAGTGCGAGGAAAACAAATTAAGGGCACTTTGATGCTCCAGGAGCTTGCTAGTATCCTGTATCAACTATAGCGGAGTAGAATTTGAGCCTTGAGTAATGTTTGTATGTGTATCCTGCATTTCTATTTCCCCACTGGAGCATGTTCCGGTGGAGAAATTATATTTCCTGTTCCAATCCAACTTATTTACCGTATCTTCATGAACTACCAATTCGTTATTGTAAAATATGTACTTACTCAGAACATGACAATTGCAGCTTGTTATTTACTTGTAGTAATATGTTGTAGTTCATTTGAAATCTCTAAAAAGACAAATATTTAGGAACGGAGGGAGTGGTACCCAAATCTTTTCAAGGAGGACTACAAGGAGCTGGCAGTACATATTTTCGAGGAGGCCTATGAAAGAGGATGAAGGTCACACCATCTGATCATTTCAGCGCCGTTGCAAGGACGTTGAAGTTGTTTGCGTTCAGTAAAACAGGTGTTGGGGAGGATTTTGAGAACACTCAAAAATATGGAAACTTCTGTCACCAGATCTGGAGATTGCAATCTTCCTGACTGGGAGATTGCAAGAACCTCTGCAGATCCTGAATGGCTGACCATGGGTAGGATATAAGGGCTCTCGAAGCTACCTCTGAACCCCAGACCCAATTCAAACAATGGAAGCCTGAGACACGGCAGTTTAATTCTCCTGATCGAAAGAGTGAGAGGGCGCACGCTTGAGCCTGGCGTCGGTCCTGGAGAGCTTCTGGTCTCCCCAACCGATCTCATCACCGCCACCGAAGGCAAGACGCGCAAGATCAATGTGTCGAGCTCTTCTCTTAGGAAATACTACCTTTGTACCAAAATATAAGACTTTTTGAACTGCAAAAGTGTCTTATATTTTCGTACAGAGGAAGTAGATAGTTTGTTTCAAGCTTCTGATGTTTGGGCACCCAAGTGTGCGTGCGCATGCTTGACAGCACTTTATCATAAAAAAGTTGATTTGTTGTTGAAACAGCATCTATAAGAGCATGCCCCTCTATCTAATTAACCCAAAGTAATTGGGGTGTGGTGGAGAAGGTGGCCATGACGGTGCCGGCACCAAAGGCGCAGGTGACTGCTGGTGGGGACGGGCGCGCCAGGGTATGGTGCATTAGGTGCCATGAGGCTAGATCTGATCGCTTGAACCGGAAAGTGGTAAGCTCGAACTGAAGTTTATTTGACCACTAATTTCAAATTCGTGACAACAATCTAAATAGTTCCGGAAATGCCACATTGATTTGTTATGACATTAAATTTGGCAATGTTTTGTAGAAAAATATTTGCTTCGGTTCTGTAAGAAGCTTGGTTGAAAGTATAGGCGGAACGAGACGAATCATCTCACCGACACCTTTAATTAAAAGTTAAAAAATATAAGAACCCAACTCCCTCGAATTATTACCCTTTGAAACGAACCGAAAAGTGTATCCGATTACTCTGTCACGGATGCAGGAGTGAAACATGGTCGGTTTCTTTGGACCGAGCATCACACCCCGTAAGGCAATGCCATCATTGCTGATCCAATCTGCTAACTGATTTTCGTTTGACATATGATGCCAAGGACTGTTGTAACAGACTGATGCTGCCATATCAAGGCGCAAATGATAAAAACACAGGGTTTGGAAGTTTTTTGTTTACATAGTACAAACTCAGACACTCATACATGCGCACATATACTCACCCCTATGAACGCACGCACGCACACCCTTCGCCTATGAGCATCCCTAAAAACTTTGGAAGTTGGAACATGTCCCATGATGGAGATAAACGTAGGCCTCCTTTAGTTTACACAAACTTTGTAGGAACTCTACGAGACAGGATATAGAAAAAAACTCTTTAGGCCCTTTGGTTTGTAGAAATAGAATTTTGTTCCTATCCTTCGTATTTCAATGGGGAAAAACATCGGCATATGCCTAGTGGGGAAAAAATCCTTATCATTTGAACCTAATGACATTTTGTTCCTAACCCTCTATTCTGAGTATTCATAGGATTTGAAATACATGATATTTCACTTCCTATAGACTATGACTCGTTTTCCTATGATATTCCTATCATATGAATCGAAGTCCTTAGTAATAGTCTCCTTGAGTTTCCCCTTACGTACAACCTCAAGAGGATCTTCGATGGTTACAAGTCCTGATGCTTTCAAATCCTAGGATGTCCATGGGTTCAAAACTAGCATCGAAAAACCAATCTTATCAGAGTCCAATACTTGCATATGTTATGTGTTCTTATTTGAATCTACCAACGATTAAGCTCTACCCCTTTTGTCGGCCCTAGGTACCAAGGATGGCCTCTGAAATTTCAATCCTATTTCATCTCTCTTGTCATGCTTAAATAGGGGCACCATTATACTGACATCTCATAACACCATGTGACCCAACAACCATGAGATGGATGCTTTAATGTAGTTCGATAGTTCCATAAGGAGCACATGGGCATTCATGTACGGCCATGAGCATCCCGCCACCCCTCAATGAAGGAGGGGAGGGACCGAGGGAGAAGGGGGAGGAGAAGAAGAAAAATGGTATCCAACTGATCATTAAACTCCGAAATCTTTAAAGGTTTACAGTGCTTTATACGGCCCCTCTGGAATGAACTCACCAAAATCAAAATCAGCTTCCTCTCTGTTTCACCCTGAAATTGCTCCTATGACTGCGAAAAGTCCACTGGAGATATAATCCAACTAAAAACTATACAGAAAACAGAACAAAAAAATAGACAACATATATTCATATGCATAATTGGGGCATTTGCCAATATGAAACCATGGTCCCTATATTGTTTTGTAAAAAGTTGGTCCAGTTCCTTCGCCCCTGTCCGTCAAAGAACCAGTCTCCAACTGCTTTTGCCATGGTCTGCATATTCACCAGAATGATTAACGTTCGAGAGGTAAATTTAACATGACTGACGAATGAGAACATGGTGGTCACCGGTGAGACACTTGAACACAATCGTGCCCCTGCAGCAGATGTCCACGAGTGATCCGTCGCCGAATCAGACCGTCCCGTACACCATCGCATCCAGGGAGGCAAACAAGTCCTTTGCTCCCCCTACGTATGCACTAGCCCATGGCCCAGGCACGCTGCATGCGAACTCTCAGCTCAAAAGGGGGAAAAAAGCACATAGATAGCCCACCACTCCAGGACATCGAGCGCTCCTTTCTCTTCCCAGTTTCAATCGCTACGATTTCTTTTGATGCTACAGTCCCTAATTCCCTATTCTGCTCTGCCGCCGGGCCCTCTGGCTTCGATCCACCACGCGCCGCTGACACCGACGAACTCCCCTCTCCGGACTCCGGCCTCCATGCGCTGGGCGCATAGGCGAACACACAATCAGACTGCATCAACGAGCGCCGACAGTCCACTCCACATCGCGCCAGCGCCGGATGACCGAGCGACGGACGCGAAACCGAGGTATGTCATATGATATTCAGAAATGCAACGGAGGTATACAAGTTAGTCGATGTACTTACAAATTCAACCACTTCAGTCAGAAACAATTAAACTAATGATGAAACGCTTGGATTTTAGTTGATGGTACCATGATAGATTATTAAAGTTGAAAGTTCTTAGATTTGATTGAAATATCTTCATAGAAAGTTTTGTAGGATTTTTGTCACACATTTTTTTCCACTTGATTTGAGTTTAGAACTCATACAAATTGTCATATGTGATTGTATGTGTATTCACTCAAATCATTGCAAGTTAAAGTGCTCTGGATTTGAAATTAGAAAGTTACTTTATCTATATTATACACGTCCTATTTTTGTCTTCGTGCATTGTCTAATCCATCCTTCTAAAAGAACTACCTTCCTTTTGAAAATTTACTCACGAATTAACAGCAAGACGTCATCGCATAGTCTATACTCTATACACAACAAGGACATGCTTCCCTCTGGTATAAAGAAGCCCCCGAGTTTTAGTTTCGCTCCGGGCCCCCAAAATACCAGGACCAGTCCTGCACCGTACCACGCGCCGTCGCTGGCGTCCTTCGGGACAACTTTCTCAGGTAGACCGCCTGCGGCGCCGCCAGCGTGCTCAGGAGAACACCTGCGCCATCACTAGTGCCCGCGGTTCAACCTCATCCGCTTGTGTGAGGTGGGCTTCCTCACGCCGCTCCTTGCGGGGCTTGTGGCAATCCCTGCCCGACACTTGCCCTTCTTGCCACAGCGGACGTTGTCCTTGCCGTCGCTGCTGTGACCCAGTGACAAGTTCTTTGGCTTCCCACGACCCCTTCTGCATCCCCCATCGCCACCGGCAAGCCCTCCCCACTCTCGACGCGGTATTGGCGCGCGTGCCACTCCTCCGTCAGGAGCAGGCACCCTCCACCACCAGCCTCGCTGCCTTCTGTGAAGCGCTCTTCGACGGCCAACAGCTGCCCCGTCAGCTAATCGACGCTAAGGGTGCTGAAGTCCACTAGCGTCTCAACCAAGATCTCCACTTGCGCGTATCGAGTTGGGACCAACACGACAGAACTTCTCGACGGCCCTCTCGTCGTCAATCTCGTCGCCGATCGAGCACCTATAGACAGAGCGCGAAATCCTCCACAGACTCGCCTTTTTTAACAAAAGGTTCTCGAACTCACGGTGTAGTCTCTGTGCCTTAGCTTCACGCACGCTCTCAACGCTCATGCGCATCATGCGCACATCATTCCACACATCTCGCGCGATATCCTTCGCAGCGATGACGCGCTTCATCACCGGCGACACCGAGACAACCCGTGTGCACCGGCTCCTAGATGCCTTGTGCTTGCATGTTCACATGCATCAGGATCGCGCCCACTCAGCATAGTTCATCCGTGTGGGCATTGGATGCGAAAAATGAGCTAGTGGATTGGTGCACACCTGCTGCACCACCTGCAGCTCGCCGCCTTGCCAAGTATGGCTCCGCCCAAGGCTCATCGGCTGCGTCCGCGGCGGTCTACGCGACCCAGCGCCGCCGCCGCGTGGGAGTTCTCCCCGTCATCGACCATCCCGCCCAGACCTTGGAAAAGGCTCTGAGGCTGGCCATAGTGGGGTAACATAAGTAGTATTATGCACTTGGAACTCGTAAACATGCTTATGTGGTAGACAATTAAAGACGAGAGAGATGGTTATAGTAACATAGGTACTCCCTCCGTCACGGTTTAGAAGACGCGCTTGGAAATTCTTTGGGACCTAGGTAGTTATCTATTGGTTGTGAGATGGGCTAAAAAATAGCATTCACACTGCACATGCATATAGAAATAGTATAATAGAGTACTAATTAGCTACTAGAAATAAATGCAATGTGCCATAAACCTTGTCTATTGTGGAAACGCACGCAAATTTAATTGTGCCTTCTAAACTGTGACGGAGGGATTAGATACCGTAACATAATAAATATGATGCTACTATGTGTCATGCATGGCAATAAGTGGACTACCT